CGTTAGTTATTTTCAGTTAGATTTTAAGGTTCACTTTTAACTGCTGATGAGCTGCGGCCCATTCTAATAATGCAAATGGAATCAACGGACATTCTTATACATTATTAATAACTAGACTATTAATTTATTATAAATAAATAATTTATTTATGTATACCAACGCTTGAATTGTACTTAAAACCTCCACTCAGCTTGTTATAACTTATTTCTTTTGTTTAGGAGTAGAGTTCAATGTAGATTAATCGATCCGGTTACATGTAACCACAGATTTGGATATTTTACTGAGTTTATCTCGATATTCATGGAGTTTACATATATTCTATTGTATTTATATTTACTGCGATCTATCCACTATGTTGAGTTTTATTTTAGAATTAAGAATTGCTTATCACAATTTGCCACATTTTGACAGTAAATACTGTGCATAATTCAAAAATTAATATTTATTTTCATTTCTAGACTAGCAATAAACTCACATTTATTCGATTTTACACAAAGCTCCCATAAACGGTTGCCATTGTTTAGCTGCAAGCTAAATGTCACCAGTGGCTAATCACTTGTTTTTTCTCAGTTTATATCTGTTAAAGGATGCCTAACTCAATAAAAAAACAATTTAACTTGAAAAAGAAACATTTTCACTAGTCTGATATGCTCTTCATTTCATTCCCGCGTAAGCTTCTCTTAAGGCTATTAACTTTGTTCTGAAACTTGTTTCACAAAATTTTTCTCAAAGTTTGCATCAAGTTCAACGGAGAGGAAAAGCTATTGTACGAAGCGTAATGTAAAGACTCTGGCTGCCCGAGAGACTGTCTGGCATACGCTTTCAAGCTAGTTTGGGGGAAGTGAGTAGCCATCCATATTTTTCTCTGAATTGCTTCTGTAGATACAGGATATATCAGACGGCATAACAGGAGCAAACTAGCCTCCAGTTTTTTTTATAAGTAGGTTTTTGAGACTACCATTAGATTGTGTATATTGGATGTGCTCACCCTTTTTCATTTAAGGTGATGAAGGCTGCTAGTCTTGAAAACCTACTTATAGACAAAAATAAGTAATGTTGTTGATTACTATAGCAAACATAACTTTGCTTTATCGGCAATCCCACCACATAATGTCGTAGGGGAAGATGCCTGGCTCGCCTTGAAATTCACATCTGCCCTGTGACCTAAGAGCTCTTGTGGCAGTGTTACGTAGTGGGTAATGTGTCCATATTATACGTTACACTTATGGTTCGAGTCCCGCTGAGGGTGCTGACGAGACCACGGCAAGTTTGAAACTGCAGTTCATCCTGGAGGAGAATACCTTTTGGGAAAGCAAGGATGTGTGAAATTCTATGGAAATGTAGGGCCTACTCATGTGCAAAAATTCGACTACCAGTCCTTGATTACATCTCTTGACGCTCTTTTATATTATCATAAGACATATGCATATGCGAGTCATTTAAATAAAATCAAACAACGGAAAAAGGCGTATCTATCAACGTATTCTGATTAGTTAAATCAGAGAATCCTTTCATTTGATATATAAGGAGATGCTGCTAAAAAATTCATCTTGTATCACCCCTGCAATTATCATATTCACAACTTAAGCTGAAGTCGACATTGATTTAAATTCCTTAGACGTAAATGAAATTTCAGGCATCATGATTAAAAACTTTTTCCTATAAAATTAAAACTGAAGGTTTATTAAAGATAAAGTATGCCTATTAAAGTTTATGTAATTTTACTTAATTAGCTACTCTCAGAAGACATTTTCTAAGTCAAATCTATGAAGTGTAGATTAGGCCAATTTGGTCCACTATTTCTGCCTAGATTCACCTATTTATACCCACTTTTTCTTAGCAACCGGGGGTGAAAATGCGGGCCGTGAGAATAATTCTGCGTTGACCTGCTATCCTTGGACAAGTCGCAATTACACTTTGTATCATCAACAGCATCAACAGCAAATGCAATTGTGGCGTCTTCCGACTCCTCTTGGATCCAACGTACCCGTACCTGGCGTCTTGGGTGGACCGATTGGACGTGACTTAGTAAGCTCCTCCCCCTACCACTACGTCGACAGTCTCTGCTCTTACTTTGCTTATATTCATAAAATTTTATTACTTCTATTTTAATCTGTATCCTATTTTTTCATCTTTTACTTTGATTATAAATTACTCATTATTATTAGCATTTCACAAATTTACCCAATTTATATTATTACCTTCAAGTCATCATTATTTGCAAGCTCCTTTTTTTTATTATTTTTACGTATATTTTTAATTATTTCTCTTTCTTCCTTCCACTCACTTTCTCTTTATTTCCTACCTAGTCGATTTCTATGACGTTATTTTTACTTATATTGTTTATTTTATAATATGCATTTGTATATTTTCTCAAATTCTATACATTTCTTCTACTTTTTAATGCCAAAATGTTTGGGAATAGTCGCCTTGACTGAATATAATGTTT